CTATTTTTTGGTTGCAGCCGTCATTGTTGTTTGGCGGGTCCGGGCTGGGGATTTGAACCCGCCACCTTAGGTGTACATGGCTGGCGCCCTAGCCGGTTGAGCTATAGGCGCCGAGCCCCAAGTTACTTTTAATTGTTGTGTTATTAGATTCATGTAATTAAAGATTTAATACCAGTTTTTCAAATTTCAGGAAATATTTGAGTAAATAGCTTCGAAATTGTTAATTAGAAGATAGGTGGTTTATCTGTTTCCGTGATGCTCCAACTGAGCCTCTAGCTATGTTGCTTTCTTCTTACTATCCTATCCATATTAAGGGATGATCGATAACCTATTTCCTGTGGTTATTACTACAGACTTTTCAAGTGACAGTCTCAGTACATATATTTTTCAAATAATTGTATTTCTTATTTTGAAGTCTCAATATATGGGTATTTATCTTACGTTGCTCTTGAATTTAGGGTTTTATGAAAATGGAAAATTATGAGGCATTTGTAGACTTTGATCTCTGTAAGACACCACTCTCCAGTGTTGCTCAGAAGATTCTGTCTGCTATCCATTCACATGATTTAGTGGATTCTGAGAATTGGAGAGAGAGTACAAAGAGTAAGTAATTTTTATGAACCTTTCTATTTTTTATTAGCTTACATCTTAATTCTTAAGGCTAAGAATTGAAAATGAAATGTATGTAGCAAAATTATTCAGTAGAACTTTATTATGCAAAGTTCCATGCCTGCAGACAAATGAAGCCCAGTTCTTGTCCCCTTTATTTATCCAGTACTGACTAAGTTTCTGCTTACTAAGTTTCATGTTTCCTTAACACTTTACTGCTTTAACAGTGTAGCACTCTCTTCCCTGTTCTAGGCATTTCTGTTACAAACATTTCCTTAGAATCTAGATCAGGTATTTTAGTAGACTTGGGCTGGGCCGAGTCCACCAGCTTCAGTGTATGTAGCTAGCGCCCTACTCACTGAGCTATAGGCACTGAGCCTAGATCAGGTATTTTAGTATTCTCAAAAGAGATGAGCTCTCGCAGTGCTTCCTGCTTCAAACCTTGGCTCTCAAGTCGCAAAACCTGAACATAGTATCTGCTATTGTGTGTGGTGAACAAGAGAAGTATTTTTGACAGTATCTGCCATACAAATGTATAAACGCTTAGGTGGCAAAAATTAATTACCATTGTGGGTCTGTTTTCTAGGGTGCCAGCCACATATGCTGGAGCTGACAGCTTCCAATCCAGCCCAGGCCTGCCAAACAACATGGCAATTACAGCCAAAAAATAGCTGGGTGTTGTGGCGGCCACCTGTAGTCCCAGCTACTTGGGAGACTGAGGCAAGAGAATTGCTTAAGCCCCAAAGAGCTTGAGGGTGCTGTGAACTGTGATGGCATGGCACTTTACCAAGGGTTTGAGACTCTGTCTCAAAAAAAAAAAAAAAAAGACTTGGCCCCTGTGGCTCAAGTGGCTCAGGGTCAGCCACATATACCTGGCCTGGCAGGTTCAAATCCAGCCCAGCCTGCCAAACAACAGTGATGGCTGCAACCAAAAAATAGCCAGGTGTTGTGGCAGGCACCTGTAAGAAAAATGGGCCAGGCACAGTGGCTCATGCCTATAATCCTAATACTTTGGGAGACCAAGGCAGGTGGATTGCTTGAGCTCAGGAGTTGGAGGCAATCCTGAGCCTTGGGAGGCTAAGGCAAGAGGATCACTTGAGCCCAAGAAGGTGAGTTTGCTGTGAGCTATGATGCCAGAGCACTCCACCAAGGGAGACAAAGTGAGATTCTGTCTTCAAACAAAATAAAATAAATAGTTTAAAATTTAAAAAGATCTTAAAAAGAAAAATGTTTATAGAATAAGGCTATAACGAAAAAGTGTTTTTGTACAGCTATAAAATATATTTGTGTTTTAAGCTAAGTATCATTACAGAGCACTCCAAAAGTTAATTAAGTGTATAAAGTAAAAACGTTACAGAAACATGCCTGTAATCCTAGCACTCTGGGAGGCCGAGGTGAGAGGGTCACTTGAGCTTGGGACTTCAGCCTAAGCATGAGCGAGACCCCATCTCTACTAAGAAGAGAAAAAACAAGCCAGGCGTGGTGGTAGGCATTTCGAGTCCCAGTTACTGGAGAAGCTGAGGCAAGAGAATCGCTTGAGCCCAAAGAGTTTGAGGTTGCTGTGAGC